AAGATTTTCTTGCTAAATTTGAGAGTGATTGTGGAAAAGGGACCAGCTGAGGAAGAATCTGGTTAAACCCCTGCAGCTGGTTTAAGTTATATCCCAGTTCAGGGAGGAGGGCTGGGGACTGCTGACTTAAGAGATACAAAGTTATGCCTTGCAGTATTGAGGAGAACTGGGAACTCCAGGAACACTTAAAAAAGAGCACCTGTATAAAATATAACCCTAGCTCTAGAAATGGGGCTCTGAGGGCCTCCTGAATAGGGTAAAGGAAGCTGTCCAGGACTCTCATATGGACCCAGAGGGGGGTGAACTGGGGTAACTAATGAAGTTAGTTGCATTCCATAGAAAGTATTTAAATTAGACTCTAGGAAAGGTTTGTGTGTGTTTTTAAACCAGTCTAGTTGGGGTAATTGATTGAAACAACCCAACGGGGATGCTAAGGGTAGGGCCCCTGCTGGGCTACCAAGAAGGGCCCCAAGTGGGTATGCTGGAAGGCAGTGCCCCATTAAGGGATGGAAGATAGGATCACCAGTAAACTTACTGGGACAAATTAATCTCTGGTGTAACTCCACTGAGGGAGAGGAAAGACCATACAACAGTTAGGGCGCTAGCATAGGAAGGAGACTTAGTTTCAAGTCCTTGCTCTGCCATGGGTTTCCTGGATGACTTTGGGCAAGTCACCTAGCCTCTCTGTGCTTCAGTTCCCCATCTCTAGAATTGGGATGTGAGGGTAAAGACACTAAAAATAGCCAGGTGCTCAAGTATTATGGAGCCATGTGAGTAGCATATGTAGAAAAGTCAGTGTGTAACTGCTTCAATAACGTGTTGATACGTTTATTTTAGAGCTCCTGTGTATGTTAATGTGGGAATATGAGAGATTATAGTTACAAATATATTATCTTAGCCGCATTTGGGTCTTACTGAGGATAAAGAAACTCAAAAGTCCTGTGTCTGGAAGATCCATTGAGAACTTTGAGAAGTTGTAGAATAACTTATATATATATATATATATATATATATATATTAGAACTTTGAAACTTCTGGAATTTACAAATCTCTTCAGAGCTGAAAGTTTCTAAGTATTGCTTTTTGGAATCTGTTTCTAGATAATAAAGTTTCTCCAAATCCAGGTTCAACAGGGAGAAAGAAAACTGACTCTGCACTTTATTATTATTTAAACTAGACTAAACTTTTTTTTTGTTTAAAAGCTGTTTCACAGTGCCATATGGGGCTATTGATTTGTTATGAAAATTGTTGAAGATAAAGGCCAAGATGGTGGATTAGCTCCCTGATCCAGAGAGGTGTGTTATAGAACTGCATGTGAGGGAAGTAAGTCAAGGGGTTACATTTCTTTCCCCTAAATTCCTTTGTGTCCTGAGCATGAAAGTTCACCTATTTCACTCAGGTTTAGGAGCCCAGAGATGCTGTTGCATTGTATCAGATCTGATCTGAAAGCATTACTCTGCGTTGCTGCTTCAGTGCCACGATTGATTTACACAAGTCAGGGTTCCCACCGGGGGGGAAAGCAATGCATATTTTTCAGTGGAGAAAGTCAGAAATTGCTCATTCTCCTTTCTGGGTGTGCAAAGAGGACAGTAAAAAGGCAGACAGCAATAAAGCAATTTGGCACCACTGAAATGACCAGTTTGCATGGGCTGAGGATCTGACTCCCATATCTTTGTATTTACAATAAGGCTACATATGTCCCATTTCTCTTCTCCAGCATCTGCTATTCTGAATATTCTTTTAGGGTTTTAGCTTAGTAGTATGGTATTTTCAGTAGCTATCTTTATGTCCCACTCAAAGGATATCCACAGACTATTTCTGTCATTGTTGTTTTCTTGGGTGTCTGCATCAAGTGGCCTAACAAAATATGTTGCAGTATGTCACATTCTCCTGTACTTTCAGAGGTGTTCTTCCAACAGACCTGCCTTTCAGCTGCTAGCATACCCCAGGTGATGTGTTAGAAATTAGGGGGACTATTTCTGCCTTATAGCTATTCTGCAGACCATCTGTATCTGTAGAACTCAACAATATGTTGAAGATCAACTTTCTCTGCTGAGTGGGGGAAAACATATTGGTGTCTGTGTCAACTGGTGTATACCATAAGCTCAGCCAGCTAGTAAGTATAGAGCAAACAGGTGAAGTTGGTATTTCCTATTCAGTACAGTTTCACTTACCATTGGGTACTTTCCAGTCTTAGCAGCTCCGTCGTGATGTAGTGAAAACTTGTCCTACCTCTGCACAGATCTGTTTGCAGAGTGAGCACAGGGCTCTCTTTCTGAATGCATCCTAGAGGGGTATGTACTGATGCTCCCTGGTGCACTGTCTAGTGTGGTGCAAGGGTGATGAGGAATTTAATGCTTGGGTGGTCTTGGGGGGTGTGTGTGTGTTACTTCTCAGATCTGTCACCCCCAAAACACTGAAACAGCAGCTCAACCCCTAGTAAGTAGAGATAGTAAGCACTGAACAATTGTTCACTGATTTAAAAATAAAACCAAGAAGATCACATGGGAGTAAATCCTGCTTGCCTCCAGTTAGGCAATGGAACCAAGAAAGAGAGGATGTGGCTAATTTGCATTCTGAGCCACAGACCACTATGGGGATGAATTGTAAATGAGGATGCCCTCGGCTTAAAATCAGGCCAGTTGAATCATCTCGTTCCTTTTTTTTTTTTTTTCTTCCTCACTTCCTCTGCAGTCCGACTTTTATTTGCTGGTATCATCACGAAGCCCCAGCATTATAGTACTGCTTTAGATTAATAGTTCAAAATTCAGATGAGTGCTCTGAGATGGTGCAGAATGTTGGTTCTAGCTCTAACAGCTCTTCCAATCAAGTGGGAACTGAAGGGTGCGTTGTGTGGAAAGGCAGAACAATGATCCAAATAATAAGCCATCAGGACTAGGAATATCTGAGGTAATTGCTAATGCTAACCCTTGTTTTGGACAAATTCCAAAGCAGGTAGGTTCTGCTTACTGATGTTATGCCTGCAGTTTAAACTACAAGATGTTTTCTATCCTTAGTCACAAATTATAACGTAACATTAACAGTTTAATCATGCACAGCACCAGGGCTGGATTTACACCTTGCGTGCCCCTAGGCACCCCCGGTGGCTGGACAGCTGCGGGGACCCTGGCTCCAAGCTTGCCCCCCATGCCCACAGGGGTTCTGTGCTCCAGGATCCCCTGCCACCTGTGGCGGCTTGGAGCCCCAGGGGGCCCTGCTGCCCAGGAGCTGCAGGGTCTGCCTGCGGTGGCTCAGAGCCCCCGAGATGGCCATAACCTGTGGGGTACCCCCAATACCTGTGGCAGTTCAGATCTCCAAACCACAGTGGGCAGCAGGGGTAACCCACCACTTTTTTTTTTTTTTTTAAACTTTTAGGTGCCCCGCCACACAGTCCCAGCACCACAACTGCCCCCTGCCCTGTCTGGACCTTCCCCATTGCCCAGAGCCCCCACCACCACCTCCTCAGAGACCCCCTCTCCCACACCCTGTCCCCCGGCTGCACTCACTGGCCCCACTGGGGATGTGACTGTGTCTGCCAAGCAGCACATGGGATCTTTATAGGGGAGAAGGCAGCACGCTGCATTTATTGAGAATACAACAGTTAGCATATGCTTTTCAATCTCTTTCACACACACACACACACACACACACCCTACCAGTCAATGTTTATAGTTACCAGTTCAGAGTCTGGATCAATGTAGTGGCCAGCCAGATTGGCTGCAGAGGGGAGCAGGGCTCCATCAGTCGCGATTCGATGCTCCTGGAGTGTGGCAAGACGAAAGTCCCATGGCCAAGCACCCTGTTCTTATAGTCTTTTTTTTTCCTCTGTTAAGTTCTATGGATTTGGCTGTGTCAGTTTGTGACTGGTTACTTCTTAATTTGTGCATCTTTTGATGTAAACATTCCAATACACCTCCGAGAGGGTCATCCTGTCCTGGTTCCGATGTAATCAATTGTGCTGTTTTTAGGGGTGCCAGCCTTCACCTCAGGTTGTCAATCTGCCCTTCCTTCGTTATGGATGCACGTTGATGGTTCTTTGATGATGTTTAGTCTCTTCACTTCTTCCTTGGCCATGTGGCTATAACAATTGCCTTCACACCTTATCTTTTCCTGATGCATACATTCCTCATTCACACAAACAGTCTTTTACAGAGACCTTTGAGAATACAAATAGTGTCAGTTTATTTTGAATCTCCTTACATAGACACAAGACAAGATCCTGTCTCTTACTTACTAAACTTAAAACAAAGAAATTTATATTTGACTAGAGTGCCTAATTTGTGAAACATATAGAAAACTATAGTAGATATTATAACTTATCCTAAAACAAAAGGGTGACCATAATCAATCATAAGGATTGTTCTGGTCTGTCCCTGCCTTAACATCAGTACAGACACTGGCAGTCTGTCAGGATGAAATCAAATAATCCATTAATTCTCATAGTACAATTATAAAATCCTGCTCCTACACCTGTCGGAGATTGCTCTGGCCCCTTGGGAATAGCATGATCAGCCAGGCTGGAGCAGGAGTGGGGCTTGCCTAGGCCAGGCTCCCTCATGACCCACTTGCCTGGCAGAGTCCCCTGCATTGGACTGCTGAGCTCTTTCCCTGCCACAGGGGGCTGCCTCACCTTCCCTGGTGGTAGGAGTGCTCCAGCAGGGCTGCATGGCACTGTCCTCTGCTGGGAGCTGCAAACTTTGAATTTTTAGGTGCCCCTAGTGTAGGATTCATACAAGGTTTATGCGCTTGGCAACATTCAGGGCACACCCGGAGTGTTGTGCTGGACCTGTGCACACACAGCTCCTTTCAAGGGCATCAACCTTGGAATCTCGCCCAGATGACATGAACCGTGGGAAGCCTCCCAGGACTGGGCTCAAGGCCCGAGAGCAAGGAATGCGGTAGATAGAAACTGGTAAATAAGAATGTTAAACAAAGCCAGTGTATTCCTTTTATCTGTTGGAGAATGTAATGCGCGGGGGGAGAGAAAGAATAAAGGGGAAGGTGGAAAGCTGACAGGCAGAAGCCCGTTAGCAGACCAGCCGCTTGCTTGCTAAAAGCTCTGTGCTGTCTTGTCATTGAACCGCCACAACTGGCACCCAAACGTGGGGCCCTCAGCACTCACCTCGCCCGGCAAGGGTTTCAGACGCGTCACTCATCCACTTCGTGGATCCCGGTGAGTATTTTTCATTGTGGTAAGTATGGGAAGTTCCCTCTCTACTTTGCAAGTGCAACACCGCAATGAGCTACAGTATTTGCTGCGTAAGGCTCAGCATGATTGCCCCACTCGAGAACTCACTCTCCTGCTACAGGAGGTGAGTGCCCAATGCCCGTGGTACCCTGAAGCCGGAACCCTTAAGCTAGCGGACTGGGAGCGATTGGGCCAGACATTGCACAAAGAGCCTCGGGCGCCCGTGCAGGCTCTACATGCCTGGCACCTCTGCCGCGACGCGATACAGCGTGTCGCCTCGGACAGGCCCTCCCTCGCGAGGCTGGTGATCTCGCCACGCCCGTCCGCTCCTGCAGCCATCCCTCCCCCTGCTTTGCCCCCAGTGCCTCTATTACCACCGCCTCCCTGGCCTTCCCCACCGGAGCCGGTGTGTGATCACCATCCCACCGTGGTGCCCCATGTTCCGGGGCCCCCCGGAGGGTCGTCCGCGTCTGCTCAGCGGCTTTCGCTGGTGCAACAAATGGTTCACGCAGCGAAGACTCGCTCAGATCTTACAGCAGAGGAGCTTGCTGATCTGGTCTCAGTTTGTCCGGTGACCTGGCAGGATGCTGGCCAGGGCAACCAGGTTGCAAACTGGGTCAGTTTGCCTTACTCGGTGATCAGAGAGGTAAAGAAAGCGATTCGCGAGTTCGGCCTCACTAGCACGTATGTACGTGGTCTCATTGAAGGGCTAGGTACTGGGTACACCCTAATCCCTGAAGACTGGAAGGCGCTGTTGCGCATGATGCTGACGCCCAGTCAGTATGTTATTTGGCTTAGTGAGTATCGGCAGATGGCGGAACGTCAAGCCCAGGTATATAGAGAGCAAGGTGTCATTTATGAGCATTTGTCAGGGGAGGGCCTGTTTGCTACTGTTCAGATGCAGTCTCAACTCCCTCAGGCCGTCTTCCCCATTATTTCCACCTGTGCCCAGCATGCTTTCCGGAAGGTCCCGGATTCAGGCAAGCCTACCAAAAGCTTTGCCAGTATCCGTCAGGGTGCATCAGAGTCCTTTATGGATTTTACCAACAGATTGCAGGAGGCTATCCTCCGACAGGTGGATAACCCTGCGGCAGCTCAGGAGATCCTGTTAAAAATGGCGGTTGAAAATGCGAACGAGGATTGCCACCGTGCTCTCCAGGCGGCACAAGCCTCTGGAATTCTAAAGCTGTCAGACATGCTGCGGGCGTGCCAAAACATCGGAACTCAAGCACATAAAGCTGGGGTTATGGCTGCCGCCCTGAGAAAAAGCAGGAAGGAGGGGAAGCGTTGTTACCGCTGTGGAAAGGAGGGTCACTTTCAGCGGGAGTGCCGCTCATTGACGGCGCCTGCCCGCCCCTCAAAGAAGTGCCCCAAGTGTCGGAAGGGCTATCACTGGGCTAATCAGTGTCATAGCGGGTCGGGAAACCACACGACGGGTTCCCCCCTAACCCAGGGCCAAACAGGGGTGTTTCCCACTCAGACAACTGTTCCTCTGCTTTAAAACCCATAGACTCTATGAAGGCGGCGACTGCCGGAAGTGCAGGGCTTGATTTGATTATGCAGGAGGACGCTGATTTTCAGTTGCCGGGGGAGGTTTGCGCCATACCTACCCAGGTGACGGGACCTCTCCCTGCCGGATTTGTGGGTCTGGTTCTCCCTTGCTCACATGCTGGGAAACAGGGCTTTTTTGTCATCCCAGGGGTCATTGATGCCGATTACAACGGCGTTATTAAGGTTCAGGTGTGGACCCATCTTCCGCAGTCGCTCCCGCGTGGACGGTCAATTGCGCAATTGATTTTAGTCCCCTATCAGGTGCCAGCTGCAGAGGATCGAGCCCGGGGCGGAGGCGGCTTTGGATCGACTCTGGCTCAGTCGCCATCTCACAACACGTCCTCTCCACTTGTTGCTCTAACAATGTCGGTCCGCCCCTCGAAACCTCAGTTAACACTTCTCTTAAATAATGTTCCTTTTACAGGGCTGGTGGACACTGGAGCTGACGTTACGGTGATTCGTGATTCGGAGTGGTGGGTCGGTTGGCCAACAGTTCCTTCTAAAGAGTTGTGGGGGATCGGGGGTAGCAAACCCGGGCGCCAAAGTTTGTCTTGGGTCACGGTCTCCAAACCAGGAGGCCGTGCCCTTGCTACAATCCGCCTTTTTGTACTCCCTGTCCTCCTCAATATTTGGGGCCGTGACTTACTTACAAAGCTGGACACCACCCTCGATATTAATATATAATGGCCCGAAATCCTCCCTCACCCACCTTGCCATCCGCATTACCATTAGTATGGCAATCCTTAGAGCCCATATGGATTGACCAGTGGCCCCTCCCCCTAGAAAAGCTGAAAGCGCTTCATACACTTGTACAATAATATTTGCATGCACAGCGCTTGGAGAGCTTTACTAGTCCTTGGAATTAGCTGCTGTTATTTTGGCCTTTTAACCTTTTGCTGATTGTCCCTTTAATTTGATCGTGGACACGCATTATGTTTATCAGGTAATTGATCATTTACCCCTTGCCCTTATTACCCCTCAGGTTGATGCGGACCTCCTCCGCCTGTTTTTGTCCTTATAGTATCTCCTCACCACTCGTAATTTCCCTTATTTTGTTGCTCATATTCGCAGTCATACCCCTCTGCCTGGGCTACTTACTGAAGGCAATGCGCGCGCCGATCGCGCGTTACGTGGTCAAGTAAATTCCCTTTTTTCTGACCCCATTGAAAGCCATTCCTTTTTTCATCAGTCTGCCTCTGTTTTGGCCCGACAGTTTCATATTCCTGCTGATCATGCACGTTCTATTGTTCGTTCTTGCCCCCACCGTGCCGCTGCTGCCCCTACCTTTTTTTATGCCGTTAACCCCAGAGGTACCGCAGCGAATCAGCTGTGGCAAATGGATGTCACCCACGTGCCACAATTCTGCCCCTATTCGTTTTTACATGTTTCCATTGATACCTATTCAGGATTCCTCTGGGCAACCCCACAGCGTGGGGAAGCCACTCCCAAAGTTGTTCACCATTTGCTAGCCTGTTTTGCTGTTATGGGTCGCCCGAGCCAGATAAAAATAGATAATGCCCCAGCCTACTGCTCCACAGACCTTTCCACCTTTTGTGTCCAACGTCCGTCTCACACACAGGATCCCTTATAATTCCATGGGCCAAGCCATTGTTGAACGTGCAAATCGCACGCTAAAAACCTTGCTCGACAAACAATTAAAACAAGGGGAGCTGCGTCTCCGAACCTTAGGAGACATTCAGCAACAATTGCATATCCTTTTGTTCACTTTAAATAATTTAACGCTGAACGCAGATCAGCAGACCCCCACGGATCGGCATTTTCACAAATCCGAGGTACTGGAAAGACCGCGTGTCTATTACCATCAGCTGCCCGATCCGCAATGGTTGGGCCCAGTACCTCTAATTACTTGGGGTCGGGGATATGCTGCTGTGTCTCTCCCTGCAGGACCATTGTGGGTTCCGGCCCGGTGTGTGCGACCGGCACTGAAACAGCATGGCGTGGCACCAGGGGCTGTCAAACCCCATACCAGAGTTTCAGCTGACCTTGGAGGAGAACGCGGTGCCTCCCGGGTCGACAACGGCAGGATGGAAACGGAGGAGGCGTAGCGTCCCAAGCCAGCCCGTGACATGGGGAGCAGTAAAAGCATTGGTCGCCGCGGCTCAACGAAGACTGGCAGCAAACCAACCGCCAGAGACTTCTGAGACTTTGTGGCAATTCTTGCCCAAATTACTGCTAATTCTGTATTGATTGTATGCCTTTTGTGCCTGCTATTTCCCGTAGGGGTTGGCTCAGGAGCGCTTTCTCCGTTACGAGCCCGAATGACATATAACCTATGGGAAAGATTGGCTTCAATAGCAAATGTTACCCACTTTTGTTTATTTGATTTTGTAACAGCTGAAGAATTGTTAGGTACGTGCCTTATTCCAGTATGTCATCACCCTGAGGAAATCGGAAATGAGATGATGCTCGCTGCTTACGCGAACCTCTCTTCCCAGAACTCTAGCATGGCTAATTGGGGCCTGGCCAATTACACTTTACCTTCTTGAGCTTATTTTTTGCTGTTGCTGTGTGCAATGTATTTCCTTTTTGTTAAGGCTTTGTCGAGAACCGCCCTGGCAGGCTCCACGAGTTATGACCTTGTCTGTCCGGGAGTTAATTGGCTTGCAAAAGCAAATTGGTGGCTACCATGAGATGGCCGAGCACAAATAAACAAAAAAGGAGGGGATGTAGGATTCATACAAGGTTTATGCGCTTGGCAACATTCAGGGCACACCCGGAGTGTTGTGCTGGACCTGTGCACACACAGCTCCTTTCAAGGGCATCAACCTTGGAATCTCGCCCAGATGACATGAACCGTGGGTAGCCTCCCAGGACTGGGCTCAAGGCCTGAGAGCAAGGAATGTGGTAGATAGAAACTGGTAAATAAGAATGTTAAACAAAGCCAGTGTATTTCTTTTATCTGTTGGAGAATGTAATGCGCGGGGGTAGAGAAAGAATAAAGGGGAAGGTGGAAAGCTGACAGGCAGAAGCCTGTTAGCAGACCAGCCGCTTGCTTGCTAAAAGCTCTGTGCTGTCTTGTCATTGAACCGCCACACCCTAGAATGCCGATGCCCCTAGGCACATGCCTACTGTGCCCAATTAGAAAGCCGAACCTGCACAGCACTATATTCCACCCCAGTGCAGTATGGAAGTGGGAAGAGACCAGGTTTCAGGAAGGCTTTGTGGATAATGCAGAGTGCAAGTTGGGCCCAGGTTGCCAGTACATGAGACTTTAGCATGTACTGGTCACCCAGCATACCCAATAAAGATCTCTTGCCTGCGACTCTACCTGCCTGCTGAATCCCTTATTGCTCATGAAACATCCTGAAGCTGTGGGATGGTAGTAGTAGACAAAGGGATCTCTGTTTATTTTAGTTTAAGGGGTTGATCCAGCATGGTTCTGAAGCACTGTCTATTTCTCCAAGCCCGCTGAAGTAAGTTGGAAGTCCTATTTGGGTCTTCCCATTGATTTCAGAGTGGGAGTTGTGTTAGTCTGTATCAGCAAAAAGAGCGAGGAGTACTTGTGGCACCTTAGAGTAACATTTATTTGAGCATAAGCTTTTGTGGGCTAAAGCCCACTTCATCAGATGCATGCAGTGGAAAATACAGTGGGAAGAGAGAGATATAACAGTTGGGGGAAAATTAGCATGAGGAAATAATTTTTAGTTTATGTAATGACTCATCCACTCCCAGTCTTTATTCAAGCCTAATTTAATGGTGTCCAGTTTGCAAATTAATTCCAGTTCTACAGTTTCTCGTTGGAGTCAGTTTTTGAAGTTTTTGGTTTTTGAAGGTTTTTTTTTTTTTTTTGAAGAATTGCCACTTTTAGGTCTGTAATTGAGTGTCCAGGGAGGTTGAAGTGTTCTCTGACTGGTTTTTGAAAGTCCATACCAGACAGTCTCTACGCGAAAGAATAAATGGACACAAATCAGACATCAAGAATTATAACATTCAGAAACCAGTCCTCATGCTAATTTTTCCCTACTGTTCCTCACACCTTCTTGTCAGCTGTTTGAAATGGGCCATCCTGATTATCACTACAAAAGTTTTTTTTCTCCTGCTGATAAGAGCCCACCTTAATCAATTAGTCTTGTTAGAGTTGGTACGGCAACACCCATTTTTTTCATGTTCTCTGTATGTATATAATCTTCCTACTGTATTTTCCACTATATGCATCTAATGAAGTGGGCTTTAGCCCACAAAAGCTTATGCTCAAATAAATTTTAGTCTCTAAGGTACCACAAGTACTCCTCTTTCTTTTTTCCATTGATTTCAGTGAGCCTTGTATTACTACTTATGGGAGTAGAAGAAACTCCCAAACTTTATGGGTTTAGACACTGAGGTCCGGATCCTGCAAGTACTTACAGGCTTGCTTAACTTTACTGATGTGAGTAGTTGTAATGAAATCAATGGGAGTACTCACTTGTTAAAACTAAGTAGGTGCATGTATATTTCCATGATCAGGGTGGTAAGACTAGAGGATACTCTGGGGTATAAGGTGCTGTGTAAATGTAAGATCACTTCTTATGCTATGACTTATTAAGTATTAATTAGTATTACTAGCACTTGCAAGAGAATCAAATTTTTAACCTTCCAAAGCATTTTTTGAAGGCCTTCTAGAGATCTGATTATAGTATGAGATACTGTAGTTGAGGATTATTTACTAATGAAGGAGCTGGGCAGTCTGTACACAAAGGAAAAACAAAAAAAACCAAAACCCCAAACCTGTCTCCAAGTTTGCATTGAGAGTGAGGATTAAAATTAAACTTGACGAAGTTCATAGAGAACTCAGTCAAAGTTCAGAGCATCTGCACCCGTATTTCCCTTTAGTGATTGAGTGAAGACGCTAGCTTTCAGGCTTCTAGCTCCCTAGTCTTTGTCTTTCTTGGGTGGAGACCTATGTCGCGCATTTTCCTGACTGGAATATTCCCAAGATGAACAGTTCCCTGTCTTCATTGCAGTGTTCTCACCAAAAGACAGTCTGCCTAAGCAGACCTGCTTGCTTTGTCTCTTCAGAGACTGATAACTGCAACAACCACAGCTATCCGTTAGCACACAGCACTTTCTATGCAAGCCTTTTTATTCTTAGGGTATGAGCATTACAGAGAAAACATTTTAAAAACAACAAAAGAACCTACACATATGCTAACGATCTTACCAGAGATTGCCCCCTTTCCCTAACTGTCTCCAACACGGGTTCTGGCAGGGGGTCCGTCAGGACCCCCCCCCCCAAGGGCGTCTCTCTTGTCACAAGTTCATAAAAGCCTCAGCTCAGAACTAGCATCCTCATGAACCATTTAGCCCAGCCTTTGTACGGTGGGAGTCTTCGATCTGAAGTTTTCAGGAGCTGGTAATTAGGAGACAGTGGGTCTCTTCCCAGGGCGTAGCTTCAAAAGGTTGGCTTTGGAGGAGAGAATTACTAGGAAATCCATTTCAGACATGTTGTCCGCAAAAGTTCTTTGATGTTCTTAATGTTCTCTTGGAGACTAACTAATGCAGTCTCTGGAGGAAGTTACATACACTTCCACAAAAAACACATACACAACTGCTTTCAGAGTAACAGCCGTGTTAGTCTGTATTCGCAAAAAGAAAAGGAGTACTTGTGGCACCAATTTATTTGAGCATAAGCTTCCGTGAGCTACAGCTCACTTCATCGGATACATGTCTTCTGCAGTTTCCACAGTATGCATCCGATGAAGTGAGCTGTAGCTCACGAAAGCTTATGCTCAAATAAATTGGTTAGTCTCTAAGGTGCCACAAGTACTCCTTTTCTTTATACACAACTGCATTTTTATACAATCGACCCCAAAGATATTAAACTTAATTCAGTAACTTTAATTCTGTAAGGTTTGTACAGGATATTGTCAATCTGGCACACACTCTGTTCTGATAACCTAGGCAAAAGTCCAGAACCATCCCAAAGAATAATGCCATGACTTCTAAGGTTTAATGGTCTAGAGAAGGAAAAGTGAATAGAGTCCAGTTTATATAATATGTATTGACCCACTTTTATATGTGGCTTTGTCATAAATATAAAGGGAAGGGTAAACCCCTTTAAAATCCCTCCTAGCCAGAGGAAAAACATCCTCTCACCTAGATAAAAGGTTAGAAGCATTCTCCTTCCCTTTGCCACACACAAGTTCAGGAATCTTTTCCTTCTTGCTACAGCTTTCCACATCCTCAGTCAGTAACACAATCAAATCACTTTCATGCTCTCCTTGTGCCCTGGCTAGTGAGCTGTAGCTCACGAAAGCTTATGCTCAAATAAATTGGTTAGTCTCTAAGGTGCCACAAGTCCTCCTTTTCTTTTTGCGAATACAGACTAAAACGGCTGTTACTCTGAAACCTGATTAGACAGAGTTGCTACACCCTTTCCCAGCCACACACTAGCAACAGGCAAAATACAAGCACCAGAATTGTCTGGGATTTTACATGGTCGCCTCCAGTTAGTGTCTTAGTTACAGGGCCATTCTCCCTAGCAGACACAAACTTAGGACCATTCCCTTCCTGGGCTTTAGCTGAATCCAGAACCAACTCTGAGACAACTGCACTATTCTCAACCATCACAGGCTCAAAGGCCCCTTCTGTCTGCTCCACAGACAAAGACGAGCTGGAGACACTTTCTCCTTTCCCAGACACACAGCTTGGGATCTCATTCCCCTGGTCCCAGCACACAGGGCTGTTCACAGACAACAGCTTGGAGACCGAGGTAGCTCCCTCCATAGGCAAGTTAATACCCCTGACAGACACAGGCACATTTCCTTCACTGTCACAATTCTCCACCCAGCTAACAGGTAAGGTATAGGGACACTCATCTTCCACTCTCCTCGCCTTCCCACACTGCTGACTAGACAAAGCCATCAGCTCACAAGGCTGCCTAGGCTCCTCCAGAGGAGACTTCCCCAGAGTCCTGCCTGGCTTCATAGGGAGCAGTTCCAGAGCATCGCCCAGGGACTCCGTGACAACTGGTGGCAGTGGTGGGATGTACTGCATCCTGCGGATGGCGCTTCCTGCAGTAAGTGACTGTGGAGCTGTAAAACGAAGGGGGATTGACGAGGACCAGGCATGCTGAAGGCTCAGAGAGGAGTGGTTTCAGGGGATGGTTAACCCCTGGGAGTGTGTGACCAGCGAGAAGGACTGTGCAGTAATGGGGTCCCCCTGGGGACTGCGGTGAGCAGTCTCAGGGGCGGAGGAGCCTGCGGCTTGACCCTGGCAAAGAGGTGGTGACCTCGAGAAGGGCTGGCACACTAGGGGTTCTCCCTGGAAACCGTAGGGAGCTGAGAGCACACAGGCCTGTGAGTCCACAACAACTTGGGAACAGTGGAGTGATGGCCTGTCACCATCTCCTTAAGAAGGACACTGTAACCCTGTGCAAAAAGAGAGGGTTGCACATTGGAAAGTTCACCAAAGCACAGTTAATCGTGCAGCTGGAGGAGGATGACTGCCCTAAGGAACAGATTCCTGACCCAAATGGGGCTATAGCAGGATCTGGGAGCAGCTGGAGTGGTAGCCAGGCATCCCCAAGACAACTGTCCCCGACCAGACGGGGATCTTCACGATCGGGTTCCCCATCGGGGGATCGGAAACGGACGGGATTGGAGCTGAGTCCGAGAGAGCAAGAGGACTGTGAGAGACAGCGAGAGTCCAAGAAAGAGCTGCAGAAACAGCAGCAGCATGAACTGGCGATGGTGGAGCAGAGAGGCATAGGGGACCTCCCAGGGGTGAGTGGCGATAGACCCGGGGTGCCAGTTCCTCAGGGAACCTGGAGAGTAAATTGCTGCCCCTCGTTAAGGAGGGGTGGGATGTGGATGCCCACCTCACTGCCTTTGAACTGGCGATTTGAACCAGGGGAACCCTGCGGAAAAGCCCTGGTGTCTAGCTCCCTTGCTGGGTCCCAAGGCCATAGACTCCATCAGCCAGATGGGTGGGGAGGTGGACAGGCTCCCACTCCTGACCCCAACCTATATGTCTGTGTGG